GATCCAACAAGACCGCGCTATATGTCATACCGCATGTAAAAGCAATTATTTATTGAGGAGAACTTTTTGTGGGATTTAAAGTCGATACATTTTTTCTGGAATTATACGAAAGCGCTTGTCTACGCAGATAAGCCCGATATGATTGACGCCTTGGAAAATAACATACGGCGAGTTATTGCTGACAAACGACCCCGATTGCTGCAAAAAGAGGACTGAGATTGGGCCGCTCGGCTCGTATTTGAAACATAAAGGCAAAACCCTTGTTTTTATAATAAATCCAAATTCGTGGACATAACATTTAAGGACATGCATTTTGCTCCTTCTTTCAAATCAGATGAGTAAAAAAATCACCCTGCAGTTCAAATTTTAATACACAAACAAAGAGCTTAGAGTTTTCGTTGATAGATTTTACCGTAATTGTGTTAAGTGTCTGCTGGGTTGTCACACAAGAAAACAATATAAAAATATTATTAGTACAAATACAAAATACTTTTTTTGGACAAATCTCTACTTCGTTAGCAACAACACACGACCATAACAATGCCAACAACTATAACATCATACAAAAACTTGCAATAAAAAGGTAAATAGAACCAATAGAAGCGTAGTAAATGGCAAATAAACCGTTGACATTTGGGAATCTCAAATTGGTCAGATATAATCGTATCGAATTGCATGGTGTCGCATCGACTCTGCGCGACCGGATCTAATGGCAATTATTTATGTTACGAATATCTATTAGTTTTATGCATCTACATATGTACGAGTCTGTACACATATATGCGTATACGGGTTTATTTATGAGCTTAATGGTCTAGCCGAAGGCAGAAGCGTCGGTACATCGTTGCATCTCCAAGAATATCAACTTAGCGCCACGTGCCCGTGTCTCTAATTTAATGCATAAGTAAGCGTGGTAAGTTCTTTCCATCTGGTTTGTATGTGTGCGTTGATAGTTGTGCTTCTGTTCTGTATATGTTCACCTGTGGTAATCAAGGTCAACAAGAGTTGCGACAAGTAACCCGTAAGAAAGGAGTTGCATTGAATTTGTAAAAAAAAATTCCAACCAGGGAAATATTTAGAACAAGGCACAGCATCGAAGGCAAGTTTATGTATGTTTGAGCTGCAGAAGCACGGATTTAATTTTATTCAATGTAAAGTTGAGCCGGATTTAAAGTTGTTTTTCCTTTTATTTTGTGGGTCGGTATAACCTCATTTAAATTTACATTGACAGTGAGATATGATGTAGAAGCTTTAGTGATCTTTTATGTTTTATGAGGGCAGCGATTACCGAATATTGCCATCGATCCATCGCTTGATCAAGATAAATTTAAAATATAAGTTTCGTTAAAGAAAAATGGTGGCCCAAACTAATTATATATGGTAGAGCTGGTAGAAATAAAAATCTGACAGCAGAATGTAACCATTTGAGACCTGAGTGTGCCCAGCCTAGCCCATAAAAAGGTATTTCACATATATCGGATAATTTAAAAAGTCACCTCAGTTTTTGTAACTAGACAGTGTTGATACTCTTAACTCGGGCTACACTAATCAAAGTGGGTCTGACACCTGTTTCAAAGCTGATATTTAAGGCAATATTTTTCGTGAACACTCCTCGTCCTCATTCGTTTGGAAAGATATTTTGATTTCAAAATGAGTGAAATGCTTTTTTACTAAAGAAAAGGTAAACGCGCCGCAAAAGGTTTTTGCTTACGTTGAGAATGCTGTCAATGAGCACTTAACCCAGGAGGACTTCTTTATTTCCAGCGACAGTCATATATATAAATGGCGCTTTGTAACCGCTGAAGCGATTTCCGGCCGAGCTACTCCACCAATTTGTGAAAATGAATCTACAATCTGAAGCAAACCTGGCCAAAATTGGATAAGAAGGGACGGCGAGCTACCTACTCCTTAAAAAAAGAGGACATGTTCAAAATAATGGGAGCATACAAAGAGACTATGGGCTCTCTATATAAGTTCCTGCAAAAGTTGAAAGGATGATGATGAGGGGAAAAGAATCACCCATCTTTTTTGTGACACTCTTGCTTTGGGTAATCGTAGATTTGCGAATTTTAGAACCCTACTCCTGGATCGCCTATTGAAGATAGCCGACGTCGATGACATGGCAGTAATAAGGTTTATTAGAGAATCGCAATGATTGAATAACGAAGTCTGAGGGTCAAGTTTTTATGACATCACAATTGGTCTTAGTCAGGCCTAAGTGTAATCGATGCGAGAGATCGGCACCCACTACAACCTAACCTAACTTTATTGTGAATAAGCACAGATCAGAATGTGAGTTTGGCTTATTTCGAGACCTTCATGTCTTAGGTGATGCTTCATTAGGGCTTTTTTGAAAATCCTGTGTGACAACAATTAGAATGGGAAATCGACAAAATATAGAAAACCATGTAACAACATGGATTGTAAAAGGAAAGCTCAGAAGACTTCATTTAAAATATTTCACTCAATTTATAAAAACTACATACACTTTGTTTGCAAAGATGCATTTAAAAACTAATAAAGGGTGCTTTTTTAGACGTGTGATTTTTAATAAGACAATACTTTTTTCGGATCTTGTATTTTTGACAGTTGCCGGTCGTTTATTCGAGCAGCCAAGAATCGATTTCGCACACGTATACTCTAATGGACGATGCGGATCCTCAGAGACACAGTACACTGCGCAGCGAGGATGATATTGCTGTTGTGAAACAAAGTATCGAAGAAGATCCGAATGAGTTAATTCACCATTGCACGCTACTGTTGTAGCTGTGCCCATGCACTTTGTGGAAGATTTTGTGGAAGCATCTTGGTTAGCGGGCTTGGTTGATTCGTTTGTTGAAATAGCCGGCGGGCATCGGCACCCCTAGGTCCCACTGAACAGTGTCGCATCTTAGCTTCCGCTATCTCGCCAACGGTTGCCGCCCCAAAAGACTTCAGCCTACTCGTCCAAAGTGCGGGGCATTCTCAAAGAAAGTGCCTTAGAGTTTCCGGTGATTCTTCCTGTCTGCAACTTCCACAGAAATCATTAAATGGCACGCCCAATCTCTCAGCGTGTCTGCCTAATAAGATATGAAGAAGACTTATAACTGTAGACATATCCTTTCATTTCAGCTCGATAAGGTCACGTGACTTTCTACTATTCCATTCTGGACATATTGTCCTGGCCACATTACTTGTGTTCAGACTTCTCCAACTTAAGTTGGCATCATTAATGGATAACTCTCTAATATTGAGCTTGCAAGTGGACAGCGGCATGCCCAAACTCTTCCAAGATGGCGAAAGTGAAAGGGAATAGCGGGCTTAGAAAATCAAACTCTTTCAAAAGCTGAAGCCGAACGATAATCAAGCGTGACGCACGTCGGTGAATATGGTCAAAAAAAAAATTATATCAGCGATGAAGCTCACTTTTGATTGAATGGGTATGTTTATAGTCGCATTTGGGATGATGATAATCCACAAACTATTGTTGAGACGCCATTAAATCTTCAAAACAGTCACTGTTTAGCGTGTTCCACGGACAGAGGGAATCATTAGTCACACTAAAGAGCCATTATTAATCACGTTTTCGTGTCTGAATTAGACGATGTTGTGGAGGGCATTATGACTGTAGGTCATGTCAATGCAATAAATATTTTTTGACCTGTGTTATGGCTTCCTAGATCGAGCGATTCAACACCGCTGGACTATTTTATGTGAGGGATGATTATTGCCTTGCAACAAAATATTCGGCGCGTTGTTGCTGGCATGCGGTCCCAATTGCTGCAAGCAGTGGTCGAATCGTAGAATCTATCCCAGCCAGCCGCGGCGGTCACTAGCCCAAAGTCATTTTTAAAACAGAACGGCAAACCCTAAGACAAAAAACACCCTTTACATATTTAGATAAGTACATATGAGTGCATGTATATGCACATGTTTATATGCTTAAATAATTTTATAAATTTTTCGAATAAATCAAACGTAAACAACATTTCATTCGACATACTTCATGCTTGAAAAAAAGGTTGTTAATAATAAATGGTCAATGCTCATCAGTTGAGCAAAAAAATAATAATAAATAAATTTTGTAACCTCAAATGCATACATATGTACATATACCTACATAGGTATGAATGTTTTAATTTATGTATGTGTGTGTGTGTGTTATGACTGCGCATTCAACTGATTAACATATTAATTTATTCTAGTCGTCATATGAATCAAGAAAAATTGAACTTTAATGCGCAATGACCAATAAGAAGAAGAAGCAGAAGCAGCAAACCAATACATAGGCATAAATTTATGCTATGCATATATGTATGTATGTACCTCTTTTAAGCTAACTTTATTGGCGTCTTGAAGATAGATGTATGACTTTGCCGGCAACTAACCACTGCAGACCAAAATTGAAGCAAAAAAAAAAAACAACATAAAATCACCGGCAGCAGAAACAAAAACAACTTTAAGCCCATTTGTCTTTACATGCACACATACATACATACATACATAGATGTGTACCAATGCAAGTACGTTTGTAGGAGTACAACGCTGGGGAATACTTCTATAACACTAACAACGCCAAGATCGAAGCTACGTCAACTATGCTGTGGAACCTCAGCGTTGCATTTGAAGACGCGCTGGATTTTGCACATCGCGCGGTGTAAGCGCACACTATAGCCGAGCAGTTTGGGCCATTGTTATAGATGCGGCTTAGCTTTAGTACCTACAAATATTCATATGCGTACATACAGACACACATATATACTGGCTTACATACATGGCATTATAACAACACCAATAAAATAAAATCAAGCAAAGACGCGAGAGCATCAACGCTAGCTTTTGGTGGCTTTTGGCGGCTGTGAATCTCCCCCACCGTCACTACAACGCTGCCACAACGCTTTCATACCACAGCCACTACACTACTACTATTGTAGCTTCTCCTCAACACCTTTGACCTATGCAATGTACGGCCGACATTTGCCGCCAACTTCTCATATAAAAGACAAATGCAACAGCTCAAACTGTCAGTACGAATTAAAAGCGTCTCGAGTACGAATACACGGCAAGGCTAAACTTATAAATATATGTATATACATATTTAGATAAGTAAATGAAAATTAGTGAAGTTAACACACAAACACACACGGATACCCTCGTTTATTAGTTGAGCTGAGACTTGAGACTTCGTCAGTGTTAGCGAAGCGTAGCAGTGTGCGGCAGCAGTTCAGAAGGAGTTAAAGAGCGCAAGCGAAACGGGTCGGTCGTTGTAAGGATTAAAAGTTAAGGAGCTCAAAATGGAGATTTTACCAATTAGAGTGTCGTATGTCGCGTTGGTTGTGCTAGTTGCATGTGTGCTGTTGGCGCAAGCACGTCCGCAGGCGCCTGAACAACCAGAGCCGGTAAATCCTTTAACTAAGTAAATGATTACATACATGTAATGATAAATAATTCGTAAAACATGACAAATATATTTAATTAAAAATAATTTAAATAATTACATATGAAAAAGAATATAAAAAATAATTTTAATAGCTATAAATGCGAAAAATAATTATAAAATTAAATAAAAAAAATTAGAAAAAGTAATAATTGAAATAATTATACATTAAAAAATGGTAAAAATAAATAAATTAAATAACTATATATAAAAAATAAAGAGTAATAGTAATGATATATGGAAAAAATTATTAAAAAGTAATAAATTAAAAATGAAAAGAAAAAATACATTAAAAAATAAGAAGAAATAATAACTGAAATAATTATGTACGTAACCATTATAAGAAAGTAATAATTTAAATAACAGTATATAAAAAAATGAAAAAGTGATAGTTTAAATAACTATTTATAAATGAAATATTAAAAAAAATTTAGTTTCAATTGTTATATATGAAAATATTTTATAAAAGTAATAATTTAACTAACGACATATATATTAATCAAAAATAAAGAAATTATTAAATAACTATATATCAAAAAAATTATAAAAAAGCAATAAATTAAAATTGAAAAAAAAAAATACTTCAAAAATTATGTATAAAAAAATAATAAGAAATAATAATTGAAATAATTATGTATGAAAACAACTATAGTAAAATAATAAATTTATGAAAATAAAATAAAAAAGTAATAATTTAAACAACTATTTATAAATGAAGTAATAAAAAATTATAATTTCAATAATTAGATATGAAAATATTGTAAAAAAGTAATATTTTAACTAGCTACGAATTAATAAAATACCAAAAAAATAACTCTGTATAAAGAAAATTAAAAAGGTAATAAATTAAAAATTTAAAAAAATAATAATTTAAAAAATTATATACAAAAAATAATAATTGAAATAATTATGTATGAAAATAAAATAAAAAATTAAATAATAAAAAGTAAAACACTAAAAAAATAACTCTGTATAAAGAAAATTAAAAAAGTAATAAATTAAAAATTTAAAAAGTATTAATTTATTAATTAAATAAAATTTATTTATAATTTTTGTATAAAAAATAATAATCGAAATAATTATGTATGAAAATATAATAAAAAAGTCATTTCGTTCAGCGTCGTTTTCAGTAGTTGTCATTTGTTTTAGCGTAAACAACAATTTCCTTCCTTCATTTGAAAATGTAATATATATAAAAAAAATAAAACAGTAATAATAATAACTATAAATATATATAATTTATTAATATTACATTACCTTCAATAAGTATGTACATAAAGAAAAAACAATAATTAATTAAAAAACTATACATGAAAATAATACTAAATTAAAATATAATAAAAACAAAACCCTCTACTGCAAATAAGCATAAATTAAAAATCTAAAAATTATCATTTGAAGTAATCAGCGAAACAATTAATTTAAAAGCGCAATTGCAAAGTGAAACATTAATTATACATATGTACATATCTCCATAACTGTTTTACATTGTTGTAAGCAATAATTATGGAGTGTGAGCGCCAGTTAATTTAGTAAAAAATTATACTGTCAACATTTCTAAAAATCAAATTCCGATTAAAACAGAAATTATATATTAGCACTCGCGGAGTTGCGCACAATTAAACGTTCGTATCGACATACATATTAAAGTACAATCGAAAAGGAAATCCAATCCAACCAAAATTAATCACGCGTATGTGGGTTTAACAAAAAGTTAAAAATTTTTGTTGCATTAAAAAACATAATTTTTTTTATTAGTTAGAGTTCTGCCATAAGCGAAATTCAACTAGATGGAGACACATGACAAAAAGCGTTTTCATTCGCTTAGCCCTTTCAGCTAAAAAGCTTCTTTTTTTTTGGAAAATATCTTGTTTCAATGACTTTATAGGAGTGTTTCTAATATTTTTTGTTATTATCAATAATACAGTCATCAAATAAGCTCCGAGGAAAACATAAATAAAAATCGATTTTCATGCAAAAAATCAATATTTTTTTTTAATTTACGAAACTCATAGAAGCATTATACAAAAAAACAAGAAAGTTTCACTCAAAATTTTGTTTCAAAAAAATAATATAAATATAATATTAACCTTCTAACATAAAAAGCTTTTTTGACTTTTGATTTATCTTTGTGCCACCAAAAAAATTTTGAATTTTCCAAAATTAAAAAATATATTACAAAAAATGCAAAGCCTTTCAATGTAAGCCAAAAATGTAAAGAAAAACAAAACAAAAGAATTTCGATGTTCAAAAGAAATTAAGATATAATGAGTGAAACTAACTTTCTCTTTTTGTATTATGCATTTTTAAACAATGAAATATTTGTATTGGAAAAAATTTTAAAAACTGCAGAATACGATGTTTTACTAAATTAAATGATTTGGATGAAATCCTGCTGAATAAGTAATACATACATATTTTGTTAAAGTTAAATATACATATATATGTATGTCTAGTTAAGTAGATTCTCTGAAAGTTTGCGGGTAATCCCCATAGGACAATAAGCACCGTATCGGCCTCATCATTTCAAATCACAAGATTTTTCAAAAAAAAGCGAGGTTACTTTCAAATTAAACGTTATTTGAATTTTTAATCATGATCGAACTCTGGCACAATTTTTGGAAAAATCCATTTTGAATTCCTCATTCAATTTTGAATAAACTTGGAGTACCAGTTTTATGTTTATTTTTATCTTTTTATTTTTTTATTTTTTTTCAGTAATTTTAAAGAAGTGTTTCCATGGCAAATTTACACACGGTAGTAGCAAGAATGCAAAAACAAAAAGCCGATGTATTTTTTTTGTGTAATCATAGTTTCGAAAACACCAAAACGAAAATCGTTCAATGTATTTTGTTTGTGTAATTTTTTGAAATGGAAAGAAGAACAAGCAATCATATGATGTGACAACTTCACCTTTTATAAATTCTCCTTGTGTGTTTCTTAGCATGTTTGTTGTTTTCAGAAAAGGAGTAATCTAATAAGTGACGCTTTTTATTATTTCATGTTTGAAATCAAAAAAGGAAATCAATTTTTGTGGTTTTTAATTTTTTTAATTTACAATACTCATAAAACAATACATAGATGAATGAGGAATTAAAAAAAATAGTTTCAATATTCATTCAGAATCCTAACACGCTAAAAAAGAATGAAATAAAACTTTGTACGTAACCTCACTTTGTTTGTGACCAGAAGTTAGAACGATCGCTTAACATTGTTTCGTGACGTTGATAAGATTTTATTTTTTATCGAAAACGATATACTTGTGGTGTTGAAGTATTTTATTGGTACCAAAATGTCCTGAAATGATATGTTCGATACCTTTCAATAACTTTGGGGCCATTTAGCTATGCTTATCATTTCATGGCCTTTGGAAAAAAATATACGTATTCAAGTACAAACAATTCTGAAACTTCAAAAGCATTTTTCTCAAAACGGTATTTTCAAACTCTGTAATTTCGATTTCACAAAAGATGCTCAAAAAATAGTTTTAAAAATTTTTACACATCCTTTTCTGGCAATAAAAAAAACGGAACTAAATTTTAAAAAAATATTCCTATTTTTCAAAAATTTTGGGCGTAAAATTTCAAACGAAAATGTGTTTACATATATTTGAAAAAAAAAAGAATAGCTTCATTAATCTATTGTTTAAAAGCATCTATCATGTTTTTGATTTCCGATAACTCAACCGCGAGGTTCTTCGGGATACCATGTCGTTTTTATTGTTGGTTTAACCGATAACTTTTTTTTTTGAACGAAATCTCATTATGCTTCTCTCATAGAAACCCGTGTCCCTATTGGTGAAAAATGAGTGCAATCGATTTTCACAGGCTTCTCTTGAGACCAATTCTCCACCAGCCGAATCTATCATCAAATACAGGAACAGATGGCAATCATTTAGAGCAAGGTCTGGATTATAAATTCTAGGAGCTTCTGGCGAGTCGCTGTCGATGTGTATGGTCTGACTTATAGAACACGAGATACAGATTACTAACCCCTTCATTAAAAAATAATGAACTAATTTTTATTAAAACAAATATGTAATTGGGAACAGTTCGCTCGATTCGATGAACAGTTTCAATTTCTTCCACCATTTCATACCCAATTCCGTGAGACCGAAGCTGAGAGCATGATCAAAGATATGAAGTCTCAATCAACGGAAAAGTGTACTAGTACAGATAAGTATCCAGCGTTTCGTCTTTTTCTGTATCTGCTCAGCTGAGACGCTTATCTTAGTTAGTTTATGAAGATGATATCTTGATTGCATCTTGATGTTTTTGCAACAAAATGGAGGGACCTGTAGATTACTCTGAGACGCCTCCGAACGGCGGGTGGGTTGGATGGAGGACTTGATATCCCTTCTGAGGCTTCTGAGGGGCGATTTTCGGTATGCGTCTTGATGTTTTTCAACAAAAGGAAGGACCTACTTAATATTTTTCAAGTCACCTCCGAACGGCCACTGTATTTTTATGAATAGCATTTATTTTATATTAGAATGTTATTTTATATAATATATATTAATTGGCTTCTGTTGAAGTGATTCTCATCACCTGGTAAACAGGGACATTGCATCCATTCCGTTGGTTTATTGTCGCCAAATCTGCGACGAATAAGCGGTCGAGTCAAATCCAGAATTTTGGTCGTAGAAAACACTGCAAAAATGTCTTCCTGAAAAGACGTACACGATAACCCAGTCATAAAACTAAAATATGGTGCTCCGAATGGCTTTATCTGAGAAATTTCCGAAACCAAACTCGACTGTTTCATTGGTTTCTCGAAAATTAGTTTTCTACAAATGATGCTCCCGAGAGATTTATGAATAGGTACTTGTGTGTGTACTACCTGATCGAATATCTAAACTAACCACCAGAGTTGATCCAGTTGGCCAAGTCAGCCCATGGCCCGCGTTAGTTACTAAAAGTTGCTCATAATTGATGTCATCTAATTAGAGACTTATAAAAAAGAGGTTGTAAAAACCTGTTGATTAGGATAAGAGATTTTCGCTCATGATGAGTATAAAGTGCGACTAATATGAAAACATTTTAATTTTTTGGAACGATTTATCGTCGTTTGCGTATTGACTACATCGAATACCGCAGAGGATGGAACGATAAGCTGTGCGAGTTATATGGTGACATTTATTATATGGATATTATTGATAGACAGCGGTTACGCTGGCTAGGTCACGTCGTCCGAATGGATGAAAACACTCCAGTTTTGAAAGTATTCCCGCTGGTGGAAGCAGAGAAAGACCTCCACTCTGTTGGAAGTCCGATCTGGTTTCAGTTGGTATTTCCAACAGGCGCCAAACAGCGAAGAGATTCGATTCTTCTCGTGCTATTGTTGATTCGGCTATAACAGCGTAGGCGGCATCTTGAAATTTCGAGAGCTGGTTTATGTAATTAAAATATGCTCTCCATATTAAAAATTTAGAACAATAATGAGAAGAAAAATAAATAAAAAAAATCCAAAACTCTACAATTCTATCTTTACAGTATGAATATCAATATGAGGTGAAGGATCCCGAGAAGGAATTATTCTTCAACAAGAATGAGGCAGGCGATGCTGCAGGAAAAGTAAGTTCAAATTATAAAAAAAAATAGAAATATTGAAGTTTCAAAAAAAGTGCAAATACAAAACAAAGAAACTGCAAATTAACAGAAAATAAAAGAAAATTAAAATCAAATTTTTAGGTCTCCGGTCAGTACTCTGTATGGCTGCCAGATGGACGACTAATGACGGTCGCCTACACAGTTGAGGGTGAAAATGGTTTTGTGCCTAAAGTGTCATTTGACACAACAAATCCACTGGGTTAAAATGCTATTAAACTATACACACGCACACATACGAAGAAGCAGAAAAAGAGGAAACCGCCTACAAAAACGTGAAACACTCAAATGGAAAACGAAAATATGAATGGTGATGGAACTCAAGCAAAACAATAAAATAATAGTAATAACAATAATAAACGACAATGAAATTAAATTTGAACTTTTAGTGAGAAAGAAGAATAAAACTTAAATATATAAATAATTAGTTAATATATTTAGTTAGGTGGCAATATGCAGAGGACGAATAAGATATTGCATATTTAAGAAAGCAACAACACACACATACACATATGTATAAAGAAATATTTTTATGTATATACAGGCATACGCAGACAGACATAATACATAGGTACGCATATAAGCATTGAAATGATATATATATGGAGGACTTACATACATACACGTAACATAATATTAAATTAAAGGCTTGTGCAGCAACAGCAACAACAACGGCAACATTTTCTTCGCTACAAACTATTAAATTTTAATCCTTAGATGCAAACATTGTATATAAAATTTGTATATATGATTTTTTTCTTTGAAACCCTACGCATACGTACATACATAAACTCTTCAACTTTACTTTTATTTCCTTTCACTTACTTTTTCAATATGAATCTAAATAACTGTAACATATTTTATAAATATTATATTGTTAATATTTTTTTTTGTATATTTGTAATAATTGTACAACATCTTCTTCGCTTTATGCGCCGAAAGCGTTCATCACTATGTACCTTTTGATGTTATAAATTTATAAAAATCAAAAAACAACTTACATGCATACGTATATACTGATATTTGTTACAGTTACAATATAAGTATAAGTGGAAAATGGCTCATTTATAAAAATAATAAAGGATTTATAGTTAAAAGAGACCCCGATATATGTATATGTGTTTTACATTTTAGCAAAACATAAAAAAGGAAAATCAATTGAATTACTAAAAAAAAACTCACCACATTGCGCATATGTGTCAGTATTACAGCAACACCTTTTGTATCATATTGTGGTCGTCCAGCACGTCCGATCATTTGTAATAGCGTACTCTCGGGATACTCCATCATTTTGCCAAGGTGATAATACTAGACAGTTGAAATTGTTTACAAATTACCGTTTGAATACAGGTACATATCTATGTACATACATATGTATGTGTGTAAATATTTACAAAATTACCTCGGTTGACTTGATGACCACAAGACGTGCTGGCAAATTGACACCCATTGCGAGAGTGTTAGTGCAGAGCAAAACCATTAAGTTACCCTGACGGAAGCTCTCCTCAATTTGGTTACGATCACTTAAACTCATGCCGGCATGATGGTAAGCAATGCCATGTGCAGTCAATTTACGTAGTTTAGTGTCGTGCAAACTAAAATGGAGAATAAAGGCAAAAGAAAAAGAAGAAAACAAAAACCAAAAATATAAAATAACAAATTAAAAAGAATTGAAGTTTGTATGTATATTTAGCACTGATTGTCAGTTTACTAGGGAACTTCGTGTGCTCAAAAAAATTAACTAACTAAAATCCATACATATACAATATATTTACATACATATATACACCGATACGTACTGTTGTGCGAGTTGTGCAAGATTTGCCTTCTGCTGGTCACTTAGCGCGAAAAGTGTCGTAACACTTTTCTCTAAAACCGCTGCTGCCATTTCAGCAGATTTGCGACTATTGCAGAATATCTGAAATGATCACAATTAAATATAAAAATTAAAACGAAACCAGACCTTTGGTTTACTTAATACTTATATCAAAAGTTATTATACAACCCAAGCTCAAATATAATACATTTTTTTAACATATCTATTCGATATCATATGATTTTTATTTATGTCAAACCGAAAATAAGCGCTAATTTGAATTTAAAATTTTCTTAACACATTTCATATAGGATCATATACACTCGTACAAACATATGAAGTTACTTTCTACGGTTTCTATTATTTCAATCGTAATAAACGCAAAAACTGCTGCATATTTTATGTTCATACTAAAATTATAGGTTATGTTGAAAGTTTTTCCTTAAGATCAATCATTGTCACTACTTTCAGATTTTTAGAAGATTGATGCTTCAAGATGAGAGGTCTGTTGGCTTTGCATCTACTTGATATCATAAAAAAAATATATATTTTAGAGCCAAAAATCCTTGTTCTAAACTTCTAAGTAGCTGAAACATGATGATTTTAATATAAAAACTTGTAATCGATAAAGTCCATGCAACTAAATACATCAAATGAAATTATTCTGGTGAATATTAATAACTTGAATCATTCTTTACTAGTACAACTCTGCGTATACGTAATTTTCGCTCACCTGACTTTTTGGTAAAATTTAAATATTAAAAACAATTACAAAATTATGTGTAACTTGAGGTGTAAGGAAATCATTAGCACAAACAACACAAATCTTAATAAAAAATTTCACTGACATATACACAAACATTTAAAAATTTCATAAGACACCCCCGCTGGAATTTGCATTCTAATCCTTCTTCAAAACTCACCAAAGAAGCTTTGCAGTCAGAATATGTTCGCAAAATATTTATCAATTTATAATTAAGGCTCATATCAAATTTAAAACCGCGTAAACTCCAATTAAAACCCATTACATGTTTCTCCAGTGGTACCGGGCGTTCTGCGTCTGAATATCTACATAAGTTAAAGTTAAAATGCATATTAGTTTGTGTGATTCTTTTGGAAACATACTTACACTAGCTGTGTGACATTTTCTGCTATCGCTTTGGCATTATAGTTGTCACTACACTTAACACCAACACCCGCAATCCAACGGGTTATATCATGTACATTCGGTATAGTAGCTGAAGCAACTACAAAACGTAATGGCTCATCCATTGCAGCACGTGCAATGGTGTGCATACGTGAAACAATTGCCTCCAACACTGGGCCACGTACATCTTCGTTCAACAAATGCACTTCGTCTATAAGAAAAAGTCGTATGGACTTGATAACATCACAACAATCACGCCAATGGCGTGTTAGCGAATCCCATTTCTCAGGTGTGGTGATTATCACTTGCGCGCAGCGTAACCGTGCCAGTTCATCCAATTCGCTGTCGCCTGTAATGAGCAAGCATTGTATACCCACCGTTTGGAAACGTACACTCCAATCATCAAAGCGTTCGGTGCAAAGTGCTTTAATTGGTGCAACATAAACAGCTTTCACAGGTAAACTTGTCGTTGTTGACTCCTTGTGATCAAGTAGCATACGCACAATGGCCATTTCAAATGCTACTGTCTTACCAGAACCAGTTGGTGCACTAAGAACCACCGACCGAATTGAATGCAACAATACATTTAGTAGTGATGATTGTACTGTGTTGAAACTTTTGTAATGCTCAAATATCTTATTGAATGGTGCAGCTGCTTAATCGATACTTAATATTATGGAAAACTGTTTATATGCATATTTATATATATGTATATATATATTAGTAATTTAAAAAGGATACGAATATTTGAGAAACTAGTATTTTCCATGTTATTTTTTCACGACGAAACGGGGAAATGAGCGGAAATGTCAATTGAATAACGGATAATCGTGCGCGAAAATTTAAAAGGAAAATGGGCAGCACTGGTTATTTCAAGTATATCAAATATAATTTTGAGGAAGTAGAGGCAATGAAATTTAGAAAAGCAATATTTATCGATGCCATGATATTGGACTCCAGTTGATATCGCGATATATAGCGTGTGTATCCCCCCTGCGGGACTAATGCTCTTCAGTTAATAGTATTAACTTTATTATATATGTTACTAACTCGATAAAGCTTTTTGTGCTCATTTGTTCTTTCATATGTACATAAGTATATGGACAATTGCTATTACTTATGTCTCAAGAATCCGGTTATAGGGATTTTAATCTTATGTGAAAGCGTGGGATTGTGTGAAGCGTTAGAAAATAAAAATAGGTAATTCAAATTATAAACAACCGTTGTTATCTTATACTTTATAAACAAAACGCAGATTGCAAGAATCAAATTGGTCCATACCACGCATTGTGTAAAAAGATACATATTTTCCAATGAGGAACAATATGACGAGAAATTAAGAAAAACATTTTATAGGGTAAGTGTTATTGAAGTAACTGTATTTTAAAAAATTAAAAATACCTTATTTATTTCAAATTCGTAGATCCCTTCTTAGTGACCTTTTCTCTATTTTCTTCTTAAAAAGTTATAAAATATTAAAAATAAAAACCCCCATAAACCTTTTTCATATCAAAAACAAAACGATCAAATATTTTGCAACTATCAATTTGCATATATTTTATTTCAAGTTTTTAAACATGCATAACATATTGTAATTAATGATCATAGTTGCAAAAGTGTAGGTAATGCCGAAAGTTCATATCCGTAATTATCGTCGGATCAATATTAGTACGTATTTGAACGTTTCTAAAATACAAACAATTATTATAAATGTAAGGATTATTGACTAATTTTTAGTACACTGGAGCTCCGTTACTGGGCAGCAGCGCCACCGTCTCTTCGATGTGGGCCCTACTTGTCGGGTATGTAAATTAAGCAAAATAATATTGTTTAAATAAACTAAATTATTTAGAGTTAATATATAATAATAAACAATTAAGATGAAGGAATTAAAAGAGAGGACTATATTATGCTAACATTATAAAACTAAACATTCAGCCTTCTCCTGTGAATTGTACTTTAAGGTGTGCGTGGGTTTTCCAATCGTTTTAGCTCCTCTTCAGCCGTATGTTCTTCAACACTTGATTTGCTGTCGTCATTATGCTCTAGCATTTTGCCTGGAGATCCCTTACGTACATCGACCTCACCCGCTACTCCACCATCACTTTCAATCTCACGTTCAGCCTCATTTTCGTTCAACATCTCTGTCAATACTTCCACCAAATTACGTGCCTCGGCTAACATTTCACGCGAGGTATCTAGTTCAGCTTCTAAACCTTCAATACGTTCGTGTAGACGTCTATTTTCCACAAGCGTTTCTTCTAGAGCTTCACGACGCTTCTCTGCCAAATGTTCCCAATATACTTGACCAGGTTTTTCTTCGCTAGTGAGATCTTCCGCAGTTATTGCTGATTTTCCACCATCACTGGTACCTTTCTGTGGACTGGTTTGCGTCTCCGATACACGGGTCTCGACCTTCTTACGCTTTGCCAATTCTGTGGAAGCCAGGGAGGCCTCAGTAGCGCTAAGCGAAAAAATTAAATATAAAAAATTATTGTTAACTAAGAAATAAGGTTCTTCTGAAGATCAAGAAATTGTGGTGTAATTTAAACAAATCTCCTTCCTATTAGCGAATCATGAGAAACATGCAACTTACGCTTTGAGGCGGCTCAGTTTGTCGATTTGTGGACGCCCAGCCAAATTTTCTTTATCTGTGGCGATACCACCCGGTTGCAGCACCTTGAACGTCTTGCGCTGATTCTTCAGATTCTCCTAAGCAACATCAATTAAGCAAGTGGGTGATATGTAATGCAGATAGTGATGATGTAAAATGTTCCATGCCACAATACCAAAAGAATACACCAACAAATATAAATAAACAAAACCGATTATTATGTTAAATGAAATAATATAGCTATGTGCAGATGACTTTTAATGCAGACAAAACAAATAAAATTCTTTAAAAAGTTAGTAGGCCGTACAACAAAATCGGCGTGGCTTCACTTTTCTATTTCGAATATTAACAACGTTCCTTACCTGTTGTTCGGCGGCGGATTCAATTTGGATGAAGACCTTTTTCGTGGAGACATTAGACATTTTATCGTTTTATAATTAACACAATGTAATTCAAGTTATTAGAACGCGCGTAGAGAACGCCGTTAGGTAGCTTTTAAAGCAAATTGTTTTAAAATTGTGGTGGTTGAAATAAATTCCTCTAGTCGTCTCTTCTATTATTGTAAATGTCAAATTTAAGCGCCAAATGCAAAAACGTTGAACTTAGCTGTGAATACCCACAGGGTTTTAAAAAATTGTCCAAAAAAGACTTCCGAGCATATTATCCAATTGATATAAGATGGGATATTTCTCATTTGATGAATGATTAATGAAATGATTAAATTAGAAATATATTTATTTTTAAACCAATTCTGAAGTAAATCCACTTCATTTGTTTAAATAAAATTTTTCTATACTTTGAAAACTGTGTCCAAAGTTCGAAGTTCCTATATGACAATTTCTGGGTTCAAACTTTAAATAATTAAATAAAAAGGCAACATATATAAATATAGTACAATATTTACTATCATACCTAGAAGGTATATCAAAAATCTTTTAAAAGCCTTTTCTCAGTCGTTATAAATTTTCAAAATAATAGAATCCTTTACCTTTCTTCAATTTCTTTTGTAATGGTCAGATAAATTTTCATTATCTGAGGAAAATATATTTTCAAATAAAATTTTATTGTTCTGGAGGACAGCTAACAAAAGCTTGTTGAAATATATATTACGGTAAACTCACCATTGAGTTAGAATATTAATTTTATTTGCGAACTCAATCATGAGCCATGCAATTTTAACAAAAAAATACCCACGATTACGTAGTGAATAGAAAACTCTCTCTCATCTGACAATTTTCAATTCAAATTTTGAAATATCACCTGAAACTTAACTTTAAATATCATCCTTCCTGTAGAAAAGTGTTCATATATAAATTTGTGCTGTTTTAAAAAATTGTGTAAAATTTTACGCCGTTGGCATTCTATGATCGGCGCATGAATTTCTTTCGGTGAGCCCTAAATGCAACACTGTTAGCATATTTCAAAATGGCTATTGTGTGTGTAAGTAAAAACCGTCGTTAAACGAGAACGAAACGTTGGTGCAAATTAAAATTGTAAATATTCTAATCAAAATAGTATATAGTTTAATAGATATTCGTGCAATTGAAAGCATTAAAGCTCATCTTCAAGGTGAACAAGTTTTGGGAAAAAGTTCGAATGCAAGTCAAATTACGTTTTTGAAGTTTAATTAACGCATGTAATTGTATCAAAAAGCGGAGGGTGTGTATGTCCGTCCGTGGGACTTCGCTGTCGCAGTAGCAGATCGCTGCCAGTGACAGCTGCTATCAACGCATGTCGTCAAACTTCGCTGCTCAAATTTGTTAGTTGTGCTTTTGGCTGTCATGCAATTAGATTTTCAGACGCTTAAATTTGAAAAAGTCAACTGTGAAAACGTTTGTAACTAGTGTGAAGAACTATTGTGGCAAGCAGGTGAAATTTTCTGATGACATTGAAAAAGCTAAATTATATATATTTTAATGGAATCGTTTGGAAACAATAATCAGAGTACAGATAATAATTTCACAAGTGTAAGGAACTTTCAAACGAACATTATAACAGACGAAGCAGCTAATAAAACTCAGCGTGGAAACTGTGAGCATGATGCGATCCATCCACGGCTATTAAACAACAATGAAAAACAGCATGAATTAGTAAAATGTTTGAGCTGTAAGCAAATACTTAGATCGGCTTCATCACAAGAAATTTTAGAACATTACGCAAAAATTGCTCATAGTAATTCATTTGGGAAGTGTTACTACTGCGGTGGTAAAGTGCATCAATATAAGTATTTTGAAGAAATTCGTACATATCATAGTTGTAGCCGTTGGAATCGCGGTATAGACAAATGAATATTAAAATGGAACGAAATATTGACATGGACAGCCTAGACACATACGTTATTACAGAACGTGTGGAAAGTGGCAGTGCAGACTCAGGCGAATCTGAGTGTTCAGATAATGGTGGCGGTGTGGATGATGACTCCAGCAGCTTAAGTTCACGAACAACTGGTGGCAATGGTTACGGTAAACGTTGGTCAAGAGCTGAAGATAATTTACTTAAAGGGCTTGTTGGACAGTTTGGTGACCAGTGGGAATTGATTGCGCCACAATTTAAGGATCGCACCGAACAGCAAGTGCAGCAACGTTGGGCTAAAGTTTTAAATCCCGAGCTGATAAAAGGGCCTTGGACAAAAGAAGAAGATGAAAAAGTTGTCGAACTCGTGCGACGATTCGGACCAAAAAAATGGACACTTATATCACGTTACTTAAATGGACGCATTGGCAAACAATGTCGTGAACGTTGGCACAACCATCTCAATCCTAATATTAAGAAAACGGCATGGACGGAGGAAGAGGATCGCGTCATCTTTAATGCACACATGGAGTGGGGTAATCAATGGGCAAAAATAGCGAAATTACTGCCTGGTCGCACTGATAACGCTATAAAAAATCACTGGAACTCTACCATGCGTCGCAAGTACGACCCGCATCGGTTGAGAGTGCTAGCACGACAGTGCCCCGACATTCAAGACTCGCGCTCCAATCTAAAGGCGCTCATTAAAGCGAGTATTAATACAGTGACCCAATCACAAAATCATGCACCACCTCCAGCACCTGCAGCACCTCTCTCACTCTCAGCACAGATTTTACAACGGCCACAAATGCAACGACAACAAAGTGAGCAAGTTCAGGACAAACCAACAACATCAGCAGTCGCCGCTATGCAGTTATCGGCACAACATGCCGTTAAGCCACCACCTGCAAGACTACCACCAAACATATTGAAACGTGCGAGACCGCATTATGAACAACAACAACAGCAACAGCAATTTGTTGGCATGGACGCTTGTGCAGCAACAAATGCGCTTGGCTTAGAAAATATGGGATTAAACACCGGTGGTCAGTGGATTAAAACCGAAACCAAATTACCTGAGTCACCAGTTATGACACCAATAAAACCATTACCGTTTTCACCATCACAATTTCTTAATTCGCCATGTTTACCTTCATTCGAAGATATTAATTTACGTGCCAGTACGCCTGTACATAAAGCTAGTGGGCGTCCCGGTGTAGAAGTCAAAAAGGAGCTGGAAAGCTCATCGATTGAAACGCCACACAAAAGTAAGCCATTTGCATATAAGACTTAAAATAAAGTATTTTTTTTTTTTTATTAAATATTTGCTATTTTTCTCTAGGTTTTTTGGGTCCACGTACACCTACTCCATTCAAAGACGCTTTAGCTGCTTTGGGTAAAAAGCGACGCTACATTCCACCCAGTCCATCTTCATTGGTTGAAGATTTGGCAGAAATTATACACGAGGAACAGGTGAATGACTCAAATAATTTGGCTATAAAGAAGGAAAATACCTCATCCGACGCAGACTTGACAGGCGATATGTCAAGGAGTACGTTTGGCGTAGGCTCAGCATCGGTAACGCAACCAACAAAGAAGGCTCGAAAATCGCTAATCACCAGCTGGGGTGAAAACGTCATGCCTAGTGTGAGCGTCAAACATGAAAAGAAACCATTGCCATTCGAAACGGAGACACCTAGTAAATTTTTAACTTCGAGTGAGTCGATCGCATTTTCGCCAACAACAATTATTATGAAAGATACGCTATGCAGTGAGGCTGATATGCTGCTGGAAACCAATGAAGAAGCCAAAAAGGAGAATAGTCCAACCCAACAACAACGTCAGCTACAGCGACAACAGCAGCAAAATCAAAATGTGCTGTCCACTTTACCGCCACGCGAGCGAACTGGACAACAATATTTGGATCCAAAATGGGAAAAACTGGCATGTGGACAGACGAAGGATCAACAATTTATGGTGCAACAGGCGCATGCATGCTTAAAGAATCTGTCGTTAATGCCACGTTCCTTGAATTTTGAAAAGCAAAAATGACGTGAACAAAAAGCGCAGAAGACGCTTCGAGGCAAACTTTAATTATAGTTGTTGATTAAATACAATAAATTACATATGCTACTAGTTATATAGGTATGTTTTCTACAAATGATGATGGCATACACATATTTATACGGAATTAGCGTATATTGAATTATTGTTTTATGCTACGATTGTTATCGTGTTGAAAAGTTTTTATTTTGAATTTTTACACCTCACACATATATACAATACAAACATAAATACGATTTGCGGTTTGTGAAATGCTTAGATTATACCAAATTTGATTTTATTTATTTTTATTTTTTTGTTTATATTTTTGAAGAAGCATCTGTAATCATTGCACGGGCGGAAGCATGTAGAATTTAAGTCCAAAGAAATGTAAGAAATATATAAAAAATTATCACTACTCAATATATGCATATTTTATAACTCATGCATGTATGTAGCTATATTTTACATACAAATGCGCGTTTGTATATTATATTTTTACTAATATACCTATGCATAAATTGTTAGTTATATGATATTTAAAGATTACCTAATATATACAAGTATATAAAAGCAAAATAACAACAAATCGGTATTTAAATGTCATGGCTTTTATGAAATTATTTTTCATTTTATAAGAAAAAAATATCTAATTGTAAAACCTCTGTGCACACTAATCATGTAATCAATATTACCTAACTTATTAACAATACATATACTAATATTGTACCTACTCAAAGTCGAAAACACGAAGTATAATACATATACATATATCTATAACTTTTTTATTCAATAAATCCAATATTTAAGGAAATGCGTTGTTTTTTGACACGATAAGGTTGGTTAGATTTATTTTAGTTACACTCGGAATATGAGCAGCTAACATTTTCTTTCTCTTTACTCTATTTTTCTCTCATTTTAAAATGTGTGACTCATGATCCCCCCATCCGGGTGGGCATTGATACCGATGCAGTTTGTTTACGCGGTGTAAAGGACGTTCTCACACACAGATTTTTTATTACGAGAAATGTGTAATTACTACTTTATTAGGAAATCTTATCACGCTGATACATATGTACATACATATATTGTAATACATTTCAGATTTTATTTGAAATCGAAATTTAATTAGTCTTTTTTTCCAGCTGTGTAATTAAGTTTTGACGGCCCAACGACAAGGTCCACAATAGGATCCAGAGTGGAAAATAAATAGCTGCTATAGCTGTGTACAACCAATTGCCGTATATCTATAAAATAATAAATTCAAAGTTGAAATTTATTGTGCCAAAAAATAGCAATAAACGGTACACTTACAATACTGTCCATCAGGCCAAAGGTTATCGCATCCAATGATGCTTTGAGTGCGCGCATTCCCAACTCAGCGAATGATAGTTCCGGAAATTCAAATAAAGTTAGCCATAATATTAATAAATATATAATTACTATTGGGTTGAGCAGGAATGTATAGAAACACGTTAGATTCTGCCGAAAGCCTTTGGAATGTTCGTTGTTTAGCAAAATGGTTAGTGGCGAGATAATCACTGCCAAAATAAAGCCTAAGGCAAAGTTCAAGAGACCAGTTACGATTAGTGTCACGCCCATAAATATGAGTACACCTATATGCAACAGTTCGAGTCCATGCTCTGGCAGTGTATAGAATAGTGGCAATAATGTGCCTAATAACACTTGCACACCCAAAATCAGACCAACACTCATTTCCGTACTAACGCCCATCGAGGTGAAGTAATCTCTTACATGTTGACTAAATGGCAGGGTGTTGCAGAGAAATCCCAACAGCAATGCTGATACCATAAAAAGTACTACCGAAATGTATGGTAATTGTATTGGTGGCTTTTCTTCGTCGTGGCTTGGTACGCTATCATCCTCAGACACCGTTTCGTCGGTGGTTGCTGTTGTCGTTAACCAAAGTAGAAATGCTTTTATAAACATTGGACTGGCTAAGGCAATAAGACAGGGCATATAATCGCCAATCGAAACGAAACGATCATTCTGTACTAATATATAGAAAAAGTAGCTTTGATGAAAACGTTCCAATAGATTATTCAAACTACGTGAAATGCCTTCAATGGTTTTCAACAGTGATAGTCCACTGCCATAGCGGTTGTTATTATTAGTATTTGTAGTGCGTTTTACAGCTTCAAGTGTGAGTGACTCAATTCGATAGCGATGGAATAGCCCGTGATTGCCATTGGGTACACCAGTTGCTTGGATCTTTAACATTTCCAGCATATGCCGTAAATTGTCCTCTAAAGAGCCACGATGAGAGCGCCGCTTCTTACGTGGTGAATGTTTATACCCAGATGAAAGACTGCTGCGTGATGTGAGACGTTGCACCAAGTTGAACATGTCCAAATTGGGCAATTGACCATTGAGTCCCTCGATTTTGACGTCAATGTAATCTTAAACAAAACATCATGGTTAACGCCATCATTGAATTTTACTGTAAAACTTTTTACCAATGTCTAAGTCTTGCACCTCTAAATTTAATGCTGCTTGTAGTGCGCCAGCACGTGCTGGTAAATTTCCACAACGCAAAATTGGTGAATCCCTGATGCCACCTTCGTGATAAGCCTCTAACCAGGCGTGCATGCCCAGTTGCTCTTGCTCTGTTACTAGGAAAACTAAATCCTTCGCCCAATAATTCTTTTCTACAAACGAATGAATGCGTGATATTTAACTAATCGGTATTTTTTATAGAAAGATTTTAACACTCACTGCGCGCAAAGTCGGCAAACGCTAACAATATTGGCACACTAGCCGTTATGTCTACGTGAACGGAGTTCACAGCCCGATATGGCGCTGCGTATACAACACCTTCAGTTGAACTAACGCGTGGTGCACGTAAAATACCGTAAACATTTTTACCATGATATTCCTTGCCTGCGCTGAAGGGATAACGCAATGTGAAGTTGTGCACATGCGTTTCCAAGCCGATTTGATGCATTTTTGCAGCTATCCAGGCATGCGGTGTTGTTGATTTGTGCTCCGTACGTTCACGTTGTAGTTCTTCGTAAAGAGATTGTGCCAAACGCAAGGAATCTTGACCAATTTCCGGATCGACTAGACCTAAATAATGGGAATTGTAAATACACAAATTTTCAATATTTACTCATTTAGCTTACCCGGTGAGAGTGCATTCTCCGACAGATAAGTACCATGGCTGAATTCTGGGTGTGACAGACAAACAAACCAAGCCAACCCGGCTATATAGAAGAATAAGGATATTTTACCACTATGCTTAGCAAGTGTGCGTCCAAATTTTCCACGTGCTGTTAACGAGGGGTCCGATAATAGACCCATATCGATTTTAATTAATTTACTTGATTTTTAATACAAAAATATCCGGAATACATGAAATTTGTCGGTATCATAGGCAGCTGTTTATGTTTTCGTACTAAGCGTTGCTAACTGTAGTTATGTAAATAAAAAAAAACATCATAGCGTTGCCAACTTAGCAAACATGTAAATGGGCAATTTTTTGAATCTTGTTCAAAAGATGAGCGGAAACGCACACATACTTTAGCATCGAATTTTTTTATATAAATTATATTAACGAAACTCTTATTAGCAAGAATATTAAGCATTTTATTTTGTTATTAAACCCAAAGAAACCAGAAAAAGGTATACTAGCGTAATAAATTGAATCCAGGCGACGAATGTCGCGTTGCGGTGCCCCACCTTCATTATTTTCATCTAATTTTAAATTTTTTTCTATGTATTTTTATATTATATGTATAGAAAATTATATCGAAAGAGTGTAAAAGCCATAATTTATGTAAGTTACATCCCTTTTTATTGACATATTACATTAAAATTATGCAATTTTCTTGAACTTAGCATTTCCAGTTGGATTTCTCTTCGGCGGCACCCAACGGAGATAAGCTGGATCCACGGTCAATGTTGGCTTCTTAAATTGTGGCAACTGCAAATGTTCCATTACTGTCTTGGGTGTCACACAAATTACATGCTGCCCTTTCCAATATTTAACCATCTTCATTGATTGTAACGTGTATATGATGTCTTCTTGCGTTATGCCACTCAATTCGCTCAACTCTTTGATACTTTGAGTTGTTGTGCGACATTCCTTCATTAACTCTAGCAACGTGTAAGCCCAGAAACTTCGATAGCTAAGTCGACCCAAATCGGAAAGTGGTTTTTCCGGACTCCCAACAACGCCTTCACGACGAGACAATTCATAGCTGAATGCAATCAATAGTTTTCCATATCCTTTTCGTTGATATGGAGGCAATATTAATATACAAGCTACATTATTTTCCGGCGACTCCTTTTCTTTGGAGAAATATCCAACAATATGTGCACCGCGCTTATCGATTTCGCAAAGCACGTAAAAATAAAATGGTTCGACATCGTAGTACAGAGTTTTATGATCCAGAAATAACTTAGCCATTAAGCAGAGTATTTGACAATATAGTTTGTGTTCTTTGCCGTCAATTTCAAATATCGATATCGTTCCTTTACGATAGATTTCATTGCCTGGAGGTTGCCGTTGTGTGCATTCGGATGCGTGATAACGATAGGTTTTTTGGAAACGCATATATTTCAGACAATACTCACAAACATATAGTGTACCCACTTTGCCATACTCCTCAGGGTACGGACTGAAGTACCATGTATCTATTTCAAAACGCCCAATACGTAGTTTATCAATGTACTTAACTTTTGTAATTGCTTCATGCTCTTTCTCCAATGCAGCTGTTGTCGGATCCATTTCTGCATATGTTTTTTGTACATGATTAATTTCATCATGCCGTCGTTTTTGGTTGCGTGTTAATTTACGATCGCTATTTTCCATTGGTATTGGATTTTCTAAATTGGCAATTTGTTCCTTACTCAACTGCTTCAACGATTTTCCGCCATTACCATCAGCGGACTCCACGGAGGTTGCAGCTTCATTTTTTGCTGTTTCTGTATCAGTAGCATCAGTTATGCGATCACGCGATACCCACTCATCGAGTCGTCGGTTCAATCCAACGTAGTGCACATAGTATTCAGAGGGCGTGCTACCAGAATTGCTGGTAGTTGCTTCAGCAAGGCGGGATTGTATAATTTGTGCCAGATGTACACTTCCATCGGCGCGTTTTATGTGATAAATATCGCCGGTATTTATTTGCATATCATTAATATTTGTTGTTACTGCAGTTGTTGTTGTGGAACGATTACCAACGTTGGCTACCTCTGTATTGGACTTGTTGTTGACATTTTCTATGGCCGGTGTTTTTCCAGTAGTTTCTGCTGTTGCTTCATTTTTAATTTCTTCCGCTGGTGACTCTTTCTGTTCTTCTTCACAAAGGTTTTTGTCTTGATTTTTTATCTTTGAATTTTCTGTAAGCGTCATTTTATAAAAATGCAATTTTTTGCACGAATTTGTTTATTATTTCTTGCATACACGCAAATTGGAAAAATATTTTATTGCTTCTTCTTATAAATATTAAATTCACAATATGCAGCTGTTATGCTTTCATTACCTACAAATATTAACCCGTAACTTAACCGCACTGTAATGGTGTCAACATTTATTGACGTGTACACAGTACCAAAGAACGTATATTAATATACGTTCTTTGTTAATAATAATTATGGTCGTTTAACCCTTTAGTTTAACCCTTAGGCTGCAACTGCCCAACTCACTTACCAGCCGTCCATAGCAACCTATCTTATGAGAGCGCCATGTAAACACAAAGTTGTCATCACTTTCCCATAGCGTTGCTGACGTTTGTGTCGCAGAAACCAACGAAGTTTTGATTTTTTCCGTAAAACCGGCTCGGCTCATTTCTCTTTGCTATACAAGGTTGCCAGTATAGCCTTTCTTAAAGTAACATTGAATGATAGAAGAAAATGCGTAGTTTTGTTCAAGGGAAATGTAAAACAAATGCGTAACTAATTATTTGTTACCATATAGATCATGTATATTTGTCTCGCGTTTATATTTAAGCATATAAATTATGAAATTTGTTGACGAAAATTATGAATTTGTTCAAAAGTGTGCAAACACACAGGCAGCTGGCAACATTTCTCCGCTCTCAGCGCCGTCGATAACTCGTGTATGTACGCGGGTTGGGTAGTTGCAGCCTTACACATTCACAATTGTGCTTAAAAACCGATTTCTAATGCTGGGGAAGTTTCACCTATCGATATTTACATACATATCGATGTACGTATCTGAATAAAAACAAACAGCTGAATGATGAATGTCAAGTTGCGCGTAGTTTGAAAAGAAAATACTTGTGCGAATAGGTAAAGTTTATATTCAAATATTTTTTCAATATTTTGTTTTATATTCAAAAAAAGACGCTCGTAACGATAACTACAGAATTTCGTTTTGTATATTTAAAATTGATTAATTTTGTGAACGTTTTGCATTAATCCGATTTTAATTAAATGTTTTCTGTAATTCTTTTAGTACACCACTTGCCAAATAAACAATTAAACTGTTGTATTGTTGCGAAAATGCGAGGCGAATGTCAGATGAAAGAAAGAAGCCGATAACTAGTACATTCTAGAAACGATAAAACAAGAACCTTCCATAGCGAATAATTCGATGCTTCTACGCTTTCGTCTGCGAGCAGCCGACTGCTATATAAAGGCGACACTCAGCTGCAAGTCAAGTTAGTGA